AGACCTGAGTGCAAAAATGGAGGCTCTAGACCCTTCCAGAGCTGAGATATCGAAACTCAAAATTTCGACCCGAAAAAAAAACGACAGTGGTACCCCTTACGTTTTTTTTTTGGGGGCGAAAAATTAAGTTTCCCCAATCTTCTCAAAACTCTGGATTCTGATAGAGGGCAATGAGACTTAGTCCTGAGTGCAAAAATGGAGGCTCTAGACCCTTCCAGAGCTGAGATATCGAAACTCAAAATTCGACCCGAAAAAAAAACGACAGTGGTACCCCTTACGTTTTTTTTGGGGGGGGCAAAATTAAGTTCCCCAATCTTCTCAAACTCTGGATTCTGATAGAGGCCATGAGACTTAGTCCTGAGTGCAAAAATGGAGGCTCTAGACCCTTCCAGAGCTGAGATATCGAAACTCAAAATTTCGACCTGAAAAAAAAAACGACAGTGGTACCCCTTACGTTTTTTTTTGGGGGGGGAAAAATTAAGTTTCCCAATCTTCTCAAAACTCTGGATTCTGATAGAGGCCATGAGACTTAGATCTGAGTGCAAAAATGGAGGCTCTAGACCCTTCCAGAGCTGAGATATTGAAACTCAAAATTTCTACCAGAAAAAAAAAAAAACGACATTGGTACCCCTTACGTTTTTTTTTTCCGGGCGAAAAATTAAGTTTCCCCAATCTTCTCAAAACTCTGGATTCTGATAGAGGGCCATGAGACTTAGACCTGAGTGCAAAAATGGAGGCTCTAGACCCTTCCAGAGCTGAGATATCGAAACTCAAAATTTCGACCCGAAAAAAAAAAAAAAACAACAGTGGTACCCCTTACGGTTTTTTTTGGGGGGGCGAAAAATTAAGTTTCCCCAATCTTCTCAAAACTCTGGATTCTGAAAGAGGGCAATGAGACTTAGTCCCGAGTGCAAAAATGGAGGCTCTAGACCAGTGTTTCCCAAACTTTTTTTCTGGGGACCCACATTTTAAAGTCGATAAATCCTTGTGACCCAAAAAACATTAGGCCCATATAGTTCATATATCACGAAGAGAATTTATGCATTAACAAAATATGTATGACCATTTTTAAGGTCAGTCAAGCTTCCAGTAAACTATTTAAAAGAGGTACAGATATTTGACAAAGCACTTTTTTTATTAACCTGTTATTGACAATAAGCGAAATACAGAGATGAAATGAGAAAGGAAGAGTTGACAGGGCATCTCATTGTTTCATATTCTCATCGTTACAGTGTACATAATTTACTAAATAATATTAATAGGCTTAATATCCTGACAGTGAGACTTGTAACCATGCATGGCTCACTACCACTGTATAAAAAATGCTAAACAGGCAAAAAAAAAAAAACTATAGGTAACACCAATTAATTATGTGTTCTCTACCCCCTAATAAATCTAAAGCAATATAAATGACTATAAGATAGTATTCAATATAAATATTCCACATTTATATCCCAAACCATGGTAAATTATTACATTAGGCTATTATATGGTAAATGTTTGTAAGGTGATGATTAGGGCATTTTAGTCTTCTAACTTTGTTCATGTTTCTTCTATTTACCTCATCGGTAGTGTTGGGAATGTTAAGACTGTTTCATCCAATTTAAAACTAGTTAAAATCATTGAGTGATTTGTGGTTTTTGTAGAGAGAGTGTCCGATGGAAACGCTTCTCTGGATGTCGCAACACTGTTTAATAATAGTGTCCGGGACCGGGAGTAAACGCAACTCCTTTAAGCTTTGCGTTCCGTTATCCACTGGACCGTGCGCCTAGTTCAAAGTAAACTAGTGAAACGACTGAAACCCAGCGCTATTTTGTTCTCTCTTTGCCGAGAAAACCGCTTCAGGTGAACAAATCAGAATCGTTTCAGACCGTTATGCACGCGCGTTTGGCCAATTCATGAAAGGAAATAATCAAAACCAACGAATGATTATATCGCTGGTTCAGTCGACAGAAATACGGGACACACATAACAAGAACTGCTGAAATATTCGGACTGTAAACGTTTCTCTCAGGTCCGTCGGAGCGCTTATGGTGCACACACAGTGCGTAGGCTATAGTCATCCAGCTGCACGCGCCACTGCGGCTGCATTGCATATCTAACCGAATTTAGCCGCACCACCAGAAAATAGGAGGAGAGGGAGGTTGAGGTGCCCTCAGCCGTATGGTGATGATTGGCGGGCCGCACTTGGCCCGCGGGCCGCCAATTGAATAGCCCTGATCTAGAGAGTAGCCTATAGAACACTGAAAAATAGTGCTCGACTTGGCGACCCAGACAAAATCTCCCGCGACCCACTTGTGGGTCGGGACCCGCCTTTGGGAATGACTGCTTTAAAGGGTATTTTATCATCTTAAAGGAGATTCCATGTGTGAATCAGCTGTGTTTATATGAGGCTGCGACAGTTACAAGTAAGCTACAAGAGAAACTCGAAAAATTAGAATATTGTGCAAAAGTTAATTTATTTCATTAATTCAACTTAAAAAGTGAAACCAATATATTATATAGACTCATTACATGCAAAGTGAGATATTGAGATATTTCAAGCCTTTATTTGTTACAATTTTGATGATTATGGCTTACAGCTATGAAAACCTTTTCACAATATTCTAATTTTGAATTTGGGGTTTTCATAAACTAAGCCAGAATCATCAAAATGATAACAAATAAAGACTTGAAATATCTCACTTTGCATGTAATGAGTCTATATAATATATTAGTTTCACCTAAGTTGAATTATTTAAAGGAGTAGTTCACTTTAACAAAAAAAAAAAAAACTTTTGCTGATAATTTGATCAACCCCATGCCATCCAAGATGTCCATGTCTTTCTTTCTTCAGTCGAAAAGAAATTAAGGTTTTTGATGAAAACATTCCAGGATTTTCTCCATATAATTAACTTCAATGGGAACCAAACGGTTCAACGTCCAAATGAGAGTTTCAGTGCAGCTTCAAAGGACTTTAAACGACACCAGACGATGAATAAGGGTCTTATCTAGGACCCTTCGAGTCATGACTCGATAAAAGATTTGTTAATTTTGATGAACGAGTTTGAACAGGAGAGTCACAAACACTCATCACAGAACAGAGCAAGGTGAGCATTTGAGCTTATAAAATTTAAACTTTTTTATTTATTTTTTAAATGAGCGATCGTTTCACTAGATACGACCCTTATTCATCGTCTGGAATCGTTTAAAGTCCTTTGAAGCTGCACTGAAACTCTCATTTGGACCTTGAACCGCTTGGTTCCCATTGAAGTCCATTATATGGAGAAAAATCTGGAATGTTTTCATCAAAAACCTTAATTTCTTTTCGACTGAAGAAAGAAAGACGTGGACATCTTGGATGACATGGGGGTGAGTAAATTATCAGCAAAAGTTTTTTTTTTTAAAGTGAACAACTCCTTTAAGGTTTTGATGCGTTTTTTTATTTTTTTAACAGACAAAATACCACAGATGTATAATATTGAATATTGTATAGAGTTACTGGCCATAACATGAAAATAATCATTTAGCCTGGCCACAGCATTTTTTTCTCATTGCCACATTTGCAAAAAGTGTTGATTTTTTTCTTTGAAAGGTTTTCTGATGAATTGAAACGCATCAGACAATCAGAAACCACAGTTAAAGCCAACTTCGAACACACAGTGACATCTAACAACAGGAGGCATGATATTAGGACGAACGTTTGGACCAGAATTCTGCATGAACAAGGGAATGCCATCAATCTTGAACTCATGTGTCTCGTAGGGTGAGATGCACCTGCTGCTGGAGTCCCGGCCAAGCAGACCCCAGAACAGGTGGCCGGGCAGAGGGTGCTGCAAGAGTGACAAAATGTGTGTGTGTGGTGCTGCCATGCCTGGCGTGTAAAAGTGAAACCGGGTCATGGAACTCAATGCGAGTAACACGGTGTTCAGGTAACATAGTCCAGCACCACATCAGCTGCGAGAGCTAGTGAGAAAGAGAGTCTCATCAATAAGGCATGATCATGAGCATGATCTGGAGGGACAGAAGGGAACTTTAACTTTTAACTCTTGTATGTGTTTGTGTGTGTGTGTGTGTGTGTACTAGAAGGGGACATGGTGTTTGTCCAGCCCATAGACGATGAAAGAATGCTTATTGAAAGGAATTGGTTAGTTCTAAATGTACAGTAGACAAGGTTTAAACTAAGTGTTAAATACGTTTGTTTAATTCATTTTTAATGAATTTGAAATAAAATCAATTTGTTTCTCGAAAGGAATGTATAAAGTCTAATTTAGCAAGTGCACGTAAACTGGGTGTGAACTTCTAATATTATAATATGAAATTAATGAATTAAATAAAATACATAATTTAATTAATTCATTCACCCTTTTACGTTTCTTAATAAATATTAAGTTGTTTTATTTGCCACAATTCAGAGAACATTTATTTTCACGAACATCTACAAATATTGGAACTTTGTCCACCTCTGAAAATAATGATTTGCTTTATTTAATTAATTTAGATTATATTAAATCTATTTGTTTCTTAATAGGAATCTGTAAGGTCTAATCTATTACAATATGGAATGGTCTAATCTAGGTCTAATCTATTAAAATATGAAATGAATTAAATTAGTAAATTAAATAACAAAACAATTTTATTTACTCTATTACCCTATATTTACTTTCTTAATAAATGTCAAATAGATTTATTTGCCACAATTCAGTGCAATTTCATTTACACAAACACATTCAAATACTATAACTTTCTCCACAACTTTAATGAGGAAAAACAATATTTATCAATATGTTATCAAAATGTTTTCATCCAACCAAATCCTGATATGTAAAAGTCCTGCCCTATTTCACGCTGAATATCCTGTTTTTCACAGAAATACACACAATTGTGGTAACTGTTCAGATGGTAGGAAAATCCCTTCATATATATTTTTAAAACAATGAAAATGTTAAATTGATAAAGCAATTGATAAAGTCATGATCTATTTTATGTGATCTGGTCTGTCATTGGTGAAATAAACTCACCTGAGCTGCATGAAAGCACTTGCGTGATCAGGTTTTGCTCTCCTCTCAGTGTTTCTCTGCTCACACTGTTTCTTTGCACTTTGGACACCTCACACTATAAACACACACAGAAAACACTGACTTTCACCCTCTGTTGTTACGTTACACACATATCCACATGGAGTCCCAAACATGTGCATCAAAGAGGCCGTCTTACCTTCTCAATACTCCGTGCAGGTCTGAAAAAAGACGAGAAATAGTGAAGAGTCAGTCAAAATCATCTTAAGGACTTGTAGTATCCTTATTTTTTTTTCTTTATCTCTCTCGTAGACGGTCGACGTGCAAATCTAAGGTCGCTCTGCTCAGCGGGAATCTAATATTAGCACGGCACATTTCCCATACTGAAACTCTAGCACTTGTCTCAAATTGCTGAAAGCACAGCAATGGGCCATATGTTTAAACCATTACAGGACTCCGAACCGCAGCTAGAAAGCAGAAATGAGAAACAGACTGGCTAAATTTAGCAGGGGAAAGAGAGAAGCTCAGGTGCGGCTCCCGGTGAAAGTGTCTGGCCCAAAATAATAGGACAGAAAGACACAGTTTTTACCCCGCATTTAAATTGTGTAGTGGCTCGAAAAATTCAACATTTACTTGTACTCCATTTACAGCAATGCTAACATATTTTTATAGAGCTCAAACTCCATGGGACACCTGATCTAAGAGGGTATAGATTATAAAGAGAAAACTTTTGGGGAAGCAAAATTAATTTCAAATTTTTAAAGCAACACCATGTAACTTTTCCTCTGCGGTCCCCCTACTGGTTGGAAACGAAATTGCCCATTACCGCTGTCGTAAATAATTCAGCCTACCGTCGCACACACACTCGTTGTTTATCCAGCACCGGCTTTGGAATGAACAATGTCCACAGAAAAGGTAAAGTATGTTACATGATTTCATGAAAGGATGATGTATTGCAACATCAGAAACGAAGAAAAATGAAATAATGACTATTGTCGCGCTTGACATAAAGCAGTCGAATTTTGTAGTTCTTATTGTGCTCGGGTTACTACCTGAATCTGGAGTTCTATAATGCCAGTAAAAGTGATACAGACCCCGTCGGGTTATGGAAGAGGTGCCTTTCACCCTGTTACGACTTGTTGAACCACTGATACTATTTTGGAAACATTATTTTAAGGTAAAAAAAGTTACATAGTGTTGCTTTAAGAAAGTAGTTTAGAGCTAAAATAAATAAAATAATATAAAAATGGTTACACCTGATCTGTGTGGTGAAACTAATGTAGTGTGAAAAAAAAAAAAAAAAAAAAAAAAAATGGCGTTGACCTGATCTATGCAACTGAACTAAAGTAGCGTGCAAGAAATATAAATAAATAAAATAAATATTAACATAAAATAGTGTTGACCTTCTCTATGTGACTAAACTAATGTAGCATGCAATAAAATATGAAAATAATAATAAAATAAAATTGTTGACCTGATCTATGTGACTGAACTAATCTAACATGCAATAAACATAAAAATAAATAAATGAAAAATAAATAAATAAAATAAAATAAAAAAGTGTTGCCTGTGACTGACTTACTGAAGTGTGCAATAAAATAAACAAAAAATAAATAAATAAATAAAATAAATAAAAAAAAGTTGACCTTATTTAATCTAGTATGCAAAAAAATAAATAAAAAATAAATAAATAATAAGTGTTGCCATGATCTGTGTGGGTGAACTGCTGACATGATAACACGAGCAAAATAAAAGTGTTGACCTGATCTCTGTGACTGAACTAATCTAACATTCAATAAATAAATAAAAATAATTAAATAAATAAATAAAATAAAATAGTGTTGCCTGAGGCTTACTGAAGGGTGCAATAAAATAAACAAAAATAAATACAATAAAATAAAAATAAATAAAAAAGATAAAGTTGACCTTATCTAATGTAGTGTGCAAAAAAAAAAAAAAAAATAAGTGTTGCACTGATCTGTGTGGGTAAACTGCTGACATGTGCAATAATATTAAAAATACATACTTTTCTGTATAAAAATACTTATAATACTCACAGTACTTTATACAAATAAAGTCGACTGTTTGACTAAACTAATGTAGCAAGCAATAAAACAAATATAACATAAATGAAGCAAAATAAATGCTAGTGAAAAAACTAATGAAGTGTGCAATAAAAAAAAATAAATAAATAAAAAAAAGAATAAATAAAGTTGACCTGATCTGTGGCTGAACTAACGTAGCGTGCATGTGCATCGTGCACTCACTGCCTGTGCGTTCTGCAGATGTGTCTCAGTTTCTCCAGGTGTTCAGCCTCCAGGTCTCCGTCTTCTCGCCTGTCCTGACACCGGCCAACCGATCTCCTCTCTGATCACAGAAACAAAGAGCAAGTTAAAAGGTGTTCAATCAAAAAGAAGAACATCTGAGTAAAGGTCAACCAGAAGCCACTCACCCCACAGTTGCTGTAGAGCGGAGAGGTTGGACAGGAGACGTTCATGATAGAGTCTCTCTAACTGAATGAACCTGAGTGCTCTCTCATCTGGAAAATGCTCTGGTTCAGGAAAAACCACAGCAAGTGGGAAACCCCAAAGCACCAATGCACTTTACAACACCGGACCTAAAGAATGCTACAGTGAAATACTATCTTACAAGACGCCGATTGGTTGCAGTAGTGCACTAAAAGTAATACAATAAAAAGCTCTATTTCCATAAACATTGCAAGCATCCCTGATTCTGTTACAATAGCAAAGGCAATCGGGTATATATTAGGAGCTATAATGGAACAAGCATCAATAAAACCCCAAAGGCTGTTCAAACACATCATTGTGCAGCACCTTGTATTATTAGACATGCAAACAATTAAAAACATTAAGGATACAGTCCTCCTCGTGCATAAATGACTCTGCAATCTGTAAAGAAATGAATTTAGCCTTGAGTTATTATGCATTCAATTACACAGTGAAAAGCATCATTAGGTAAGACTCTACAGTAACTCGAAATCATTACAATAATGCATTGGATGAACGATATAAGGTAAACGAGGTACGAGGTAAAAAACGATATAAATACTGTTCATTTTCTCACACAAACCGCTCGTTTCGTGTCTTAGGCCATCAATGTGTACTTACATTTACGAGTCATTAAATTTAGTTTAATTTGGACTTCTCTGTGCATGCTCTTTGAGGTGGTGACCATAGACCTCCATTATATGACTGACAGACATGAACGGTTTGACCTAAAAATATAAAAATTGAAACTACTGCGGAAACAAAGACACCTACATCTTGGATGCCCTTGAGGTAAGCTAAAACATACCAAAAATGTATTTCAAAGTGAACTATCCCTTTAAACTCAGAGAGCATTTATTCTACTCCACCCGCATGCACATTGTTGCCATTCGAGTAAAACTCATGACATCATCGGCTCTCTTCAAACTCCTTGCAAAGTAAAGTCAGTGACAGTCAGGGTGAAAATCACTACATTAATCACTAAATCACTCAAAATCTCTTCTACTGACATAGTTCAAATTACCGTTCACAGCCTGAACAGGCATAGAAACATACATGAGAGGTCATGTCTATTGACATAATTATGGATCATATGCTGATTTCTGAATGACTCACTTTTGCAGCTTACTGGGGAAGTAGCTTTGTTGTTAATGTTCATTTTAGAGTATGTCTACATGGTACACTGAAAAAAAATTCCAGTTATCCTTTTAAAATCTCTTATAAGAACAAAAATCCACAGGGAAATACATGTGAGCAGTTTCGACAGTCGTCTTGTAGCTCCTTATAAACCTCTCCTCGGGATGATACAGACCCAGCTGCACATCTGAGCTAGTTCTTGTAAAACATGTTGAGTAAGGTCAAGCTCAAATCAACATTTAATAGAGCTTGACCATTTAAGGTGCTGGTTATTCTGCTTCCTATCAGATACTTCATGTTCTGCTATCAGTCAATGTTATCAGCACTGGCCAACAGCAACAACAGACTAACACAAGCTTATTAATGAACCATGTGGAACAGTCCAGGCACATTCATCATCTCATGATCTGGCTCACACACATAAGCTTAGACTTAAGAAATCAGAGGTTTGCACCATCTACTGGTAGTGAACAAAAGTGACCATAAAAACATTTGTAATGCTGCTAAAGATTTCTATTTCAAATAAATGCTGTTGTTTCAAACTTTCTATTTACCAAAGAACATTTCTATTCAACAGCCTAATCAACTTGAAAATTGAGAAGAGAAGGCTTCCCATCTCACTGCCCAAAATAGGCAATGCATCCAATCTGTATTTTTTATGATTTATTATTTTGTACAACATACTCACCTCAAAGAGCATGCACAGAGAAGTCAAAATTAAACATGATTTAATGACTAGTAAATGTAAGTACACACTGATGGCCTGAGACACGAAACGAGCGGTTTGTGTGAGAAAACGAACAGCATTTATATCGTTTTTACCTCTTGTAACCTCAGCCACATCCAAGTGATCTGAGGGCACGGGCGCTTTGTGGCTGTGGTAACAAGAGGAAAAAAAAACAAGGTTTTCTCACACAAACCGTTCGTTTCGTGTCTTAGGCCATCAATGTGTACTTACATTTAGGAGTCACTAAATCATGTTTAATTTGGACTTCTCTGTGCATGCTCTTTGAGGTGGTGACCATAGACCTGCATTATATGACTGATAGACAGGAACAGTTTGACCTAAAAATATCAAAATTGAAACTACTGCAGAAACAAAGACACCTACATCTTGGATGCCCTTGAGGGAAGATAAAACATACCAAAAATCAATTTCAAAGTGAACTATCCCTTTAAACATCAATCCCTTACTGCCTTGTTTTGATTCCCGTGAAATTAAATACTGCATCATATCCAACTAAAGTCTGTTAGAAACGAACGATCACGCACTGATGAATGAATGGTGAGAGATGAAATTTACTTTAACAACATTTAATTTAACACCACATTACTCAAAGGCACGCATGATGTTTTTTCACTCTTCAAATAGTTTATCCTAAACCCCGGGTAAACGGAATCCTGGATCTTGCATCACTTTTCGCACTGCTTTTACTTTACCCGAGTTTAACAATTAATCCTGGGTATTCAAAAGCTGCCGTTTCACATTGTACATTCTTAAACCCTGGTTTAAAATCCTTATTTGCATATATATGGTGTCGACCTGTTTACATAGAAGCTCTAGCATTCACCTGTCCCATATCATATATAGCTGGCTGTACTATCAAGTTGTTTTCTGAATGGACTTTTCGGACCATTTGACTTTTTTTTTCTTCATCAAATGCTGAAATGATTGTTTAAACGAAACATGATTGTTGCTAAGCATCTAATCGAAATTATCTGACACCGTATTTCTTGCACCCTGCACATGTTTGGCACCACAATGCAGGGTTAACAGTGCACAAACGGTGGTAACCCTGCTTTTAAATTACATGTGTGAAATATTCCTTTACCCGAGGTTTAAAGCAGGGTTTAGAATGACAATAACCCGTGGTTAAGTGCCCTGTGAAGAGCCCCAGAGAACAACATTAGTATGAGACCTGATGGAGGCAGTGTGGCAGAAGAGGGTGGTCTCCCTGCTCCCCCAGCTCCTGGAGAGATGCCGACAGGGGGCGTCCGAAGCCCTGGGGGGAACCAGCATCGCCCTGAGGAGGTCCTTCAGGGCTGACGAGACCCTCTGACACTGGAAAAACAACAACATCATCTTTAAAAAGTGTTGACACAGAAAATCGACTATGGTTTCACTCAAGTAACACTAACTGTATGGCATTTCAGCAGAATTATTATTACCAATGGACTTTAATTTATGTGGTTCATTTTCATTTTAGTATTATTTATACACTAGGATTATTTATAGTTTTAATTAATATAATGAATTGTCTTTTATTTTTTTATATTTGCAGTTTTCATTTTTAGCCATTTTGTAATGTACTTTTGTCATATTATTATTATTAATTATATATTACTATTATGGTTTAATTTGATTTTATTTCAGTTTTAATCTATTTATTTCCATTTTATTATTTTATCCCATTTTTTATTTGAGTGCTTCAAATATCAACCTGTTTCAATTAGTTGTCAATTTAGTTTTTTAAAAGTTTAATTTAGTCTAATGCTTTTATAATGGATTTCATATTATTTCAACTTTGTTTTATTTAACACATTTCTTTTTTATAGTTTAAATTTTAGTTAACATTAATAACCCTGATGCGGTTATCTAAGGGTGCATTTACATGACAACGACATACTAAAAATGGGAAAGATTTTCCTTTGCATCTCGTATAGACGACAACATCGAAGCAATCCCCGTTCACACAGATCCGCGAAAAACGACTAATAACACTGTATTCTGCTGCCAGGCCAGTAGTTGGCGATGTCACATTATAAAGAAACACTACGCGCCTACAGACTGAACATACGCATGATATCGCTGTTTTACCATTTTCACGTGTTTACACGGAGATTATAACAAGATAATTTTCAAAAACTCACACTTTCAAACCCATTTACAAAAGTTTGTTGCGTAAATAAATGCTCAAAACATACAAAGTTTTACGTTCTTAGTTGAAATTGGCGTAAAGTCCTTCAAAGTTCATTACAATACATCTAACACAAAGGCATCTAAAATGTCCCTTTAAAGGTACAATATGCTAGCCTAGAAATCTAGACGCACCCTAGTGGCAGCAAAAATTATTTTGCAGCTAAGTGTGGTCTAGCAACTCTCCGTTGGCTTTCGAAGTGGAAAAACCAAACTCTGGTCAGGCCAATCACATCGTGTATAGAGTTTGGAGGGCGGGCTTAACACAATGACGGCAGAGTTGTGACGGTTCTGCGCCGTGATTTTCCATTGGTGATTTCCCTGCTACTTAAAAACAAACAAGATGCTGCTGGAGAACAGCGGTCTTTCGATTCGGCTTTGGCCGCGACTCTGGATGACTTGGAGTTAAGAGAACGTCACTTAAGTCATTCTTAAAAAATGAAGATGTGTTCGGAGTTGACGACCTGATACGGCAAACGTTTTAAATATCAACTTGCTTCGCTGGAGGGAAAACGTCAAAACGCATTGGACTCACTCATCCACAACCGTTCGTTGCTCTGGTTGCTGGTTGTGGCGCTATCCTATTGGGTACCGAGGGATATTGAAAGACAACCTTTTATCCCGCCTCTCGGATTGAGGTATGCCAATTGTGAGCTCCCAGACCTAACATCTTGATAGGTCTGGCTTGCCAGGCTAACAATATGCAAGATTGTTTCGCCACCAGGGGTCGCTAACATCTTACAATGACAAAGGTGTATGTATATTATTGACGTATGTTCCACATTAAGCGGAATTATGGATCTTGTCGTCAAGCTGATAGATCTTTTATGGATGAGTGAATACATTGATTTTTTTAACATGACTGTGGTATGAAGCAGGGCACGATTGCTAGACGTATACCAGCGCCACAGGCAAAATGGTCATAATGTTCGGAATAAACCCTGCTAGGGACGCTCACGCTGTTGAGCACGCATAACAGGCATAACCGACCCAGTTGTCCACGTCTGTCGCCATGGTTACTATTGCAGTACGAGGTCAAACCTGGCGGAAACTCCTCACCCCTGCTGTGCTCACACACCCCGTTTCCCTAGTTAAAAAAAAAAAAATCGCAATTTTCTCACGATTTACAAATAGTTGGAAACATTTGGGATATTGTAAGTAATCAACTAAACAAAATATATAACATTGGCCTAGTGGTTTTTGGATATTTTACTCCAAAAATCCTGCATATTGTACCTTTAAATTGAATGGAGCGGCAGCACCCAGTGCTTGTAGACACATCTACCTCTATGGGTTGTCCCGTATTATTCATGTCACTCAAACCTGTCTGAAAGGTGCACGACAACAATGGGATACAATCACTTGCTCTACAGCAAAACTAGAAACAAGTCTTGCGCTATTACTCACTGTGCCTGACTCCTCAGAGACAACAGAAAAGCTTCTCCACCCACAGCCCAAACAAGCCAATGACAAATAAATGCATTCAGGATGACACTATAGGTTGTACCTCAGAAACAACTTTAAAGTCCAAGGACCAGTATCAGTAATTTCTATTTTTGTATAGAAGTGTGACCTGGTTCCTGAACGTACCAAGCAGAAAGAATGAATTAATAATCGTAAGTTTTTGATTAGTAGCATAATCTAATTTATCCTAGCAAACTTTGACAGAAAATAGCATAAAAAGTCACCAAGCTTCATTTCATTATGTGACTTTAGTTTAGGGGAAGGAATATACAGGTGTGCACAATGAGACCTCATTGACTTCTCTGAACTCTTGAATAATATGTTGTAATGATTCAATGCCACAGACTTTCCAATCTTTGGCAAAGGACAAGCTCTTCCTTTAGAAATTCTCACTGTAGCAGATGAGAAACTTGACTGAACAAAAACCTGCGCAGACTAACTCCTAGGCGAGCTGGCGGTTTGTATTTGTGTGAGAACATTCACGCACATGCACTGACACATGGCTCAACAACACATCCATTTAACTCGGGATGACTGATTCCAGGTCAACACGAGGAGAATCTCACATTGCGCTCTAATTCCGTGAAGCTTTGGGACTGATTAACTGGTTCTCCTCTGGGCCTTAATGCACTGTGGGATCCGTTTTAATAAGGAATGACATGCGGAGAACTAACCAAAATTTGTTTTTAGCATGCAAAGCTTATTCATTTGTTCAGCCATGGCACTTTTGAGCAAACAGAATTTTACTGTAACTTATGGAAAGCTAAATAAATAGTGTAATAAGATAGAACAGCTACGTAATAAACCAGATAGATTCACACTTTGGGTAGGTGATAGCTTCATATACTACTGCAATATTTATTAATATTTTGACGTTTTTTATGTCCGATTTTATAGGGGTTTGTTTGGGATCTCGCTTTAAACACAAACAGAAGTGACGTCACCCACAATCGCTGATACAACCTTTAACTAATGTTAACAAAGATTCATAAACACTGTAACAAATGTATTTCCCAATTGTTATTTAACGTTAGATAATACATTAAAGGGGGGGTTGATTGCGATTTCACTTTTCTCATTTTAAATAGTGCAAAATGTTGCTGTTGGTGCGTGAACAGTATCTGCAAAGTTGGAGTGCTGAAAGTTCAATGTAAGCAGAGATATCATCTTTTAAAAATCAGGAAGTTTAATGCCTACAAAAACGACTCGATTGGGACTACAGCTGGGTTTTAGAAGTCACTAACCCACACATTTACATCAACCCTCCTTCCGGAACATGCAAAAAAGGGCACGCGCATATTTCTTTATGTTTGATTATGTTCCTGAAAATGACAATCGTACTTTAGCTCTTGGTGTTGCGCATTTACGGAAGAATCTCCACGAATTCAATGCCGGATTCAACAAGAAACTGTTACTAAAACATGAAGCAATTCCAACTTTAAAACCAGAGGCAGCAGTTGTTGGGTCACAACCTGTAAGTAGGCTAAGACTTCATCATTTTTAAATGTATTTGCATGTATAATTCCAGACGTAGCCTTGTGTTTTAGTTTTATCAAATGCCAGCGCTGGCTTTATAGCCACTATAGGCTACTAGTTATGCTATTTTGTGTCTACGACAAACGCGTACAAACATTATGGACCTGAATTTTGTATAAGTACTAATGTTTTAAATGTATTTTTCATGTGCTTTATGACGTTATTTTCGATTTGATCAAGAATGTAAACCAATGCCGACTCTTTGTGTATATAACGTTAGTAGCCACTCAGTGTAAAACAAACGTGTATAAAGTTAAAAAAAAAATATATAGGCAAACGACAATTAGGGAGGTTCTGCTTGACTCTCTTCATCGCCGCTTTCTTGGTCTGAATCTGGCTCTGATTCTGCAGTATTGACACCATTATTTACTGTACATTGGACCAGAGCGGCTCTGCATTGGACCGAAGCACACACACGTTTCGCCCGTAAAGGTAATGGGCGTTAACCTTCCGGACAACGTGAGCGACAGTTTAGCCAATCACAACACACCGGCCCAAACTAACCAATCTGAGCCCACTGCCTGTTTCTGAGGGAGTGGTTTCATAGACTCAGGAAGTCAACCGCTCGTTCAGAGGACGCGGCTGACAATAAAGGTAAAATTTATGAAAAATAAGACTTTTTAAAAAAGAAAAACCATGAATACATGTTATATTGCACCCCATAAACAGAATTATGCAAAGAAAAAAAAAAGCAGTAAACCACCCCTTTGACTAATGTAAACGAACGGGACCTGATTTTAGAGTGTTTTTTTTTAACCGTTTTAGTTGTAGTTTTAATTAACATATCACATGACTCTATACTGAGTGAATATACCCTGTTGTAGAGTTTTAATATGAAGGCATCTTTTAAGCCTGGTTTCAATCAACTGCTAAACAGCACACACACACACACACCTGTAGGACTGGGACTGGGTGTCGGGGAGTCTCGGATGTGCCCATCCAGCTCTGGAGAGTATGCGCCACTGTTGCTGTCCACCTCTTCTTCCTCCTCCTCTTCTTCATCGTCCTCCACCTTGGAGCTGTCGTATTCTTCATCATCACTATTGTTATTAGCATGATCCTGTCTGAGGGGCTTCTGTCCACCACGGGGCCCCTGTTCCACCTCCTCTGCCTCCTCCACCAGTCGGTTCTGGTTCTCGTCCGGGCTGCGGCTGGACTCGGAGTCATTTAGAAGGTCGGGGTCAGTTAGTCCTGCCCGCCGCACTGGGCCATCGCTCTGCCACTGTCCGTCTTCCATAAGGTCCAGCTGACCGAGAGCATGAAGATCCACTCGAACCCCTCGCAGCCACTCGACGGTGCTCCCGCTCAGCCGCTGAGAACAAATCAGAGGGACACTTTAATGGCCATGAGCTCGCTGGCCTTTAAGAGAACTGACTCATAGTTTACCCATAATTTCAATTCAAGCTGGTTGAGTGTAAAGCATGAATCAAAACTCTTGAGATTTCTACATTTGTTCTGCTTTGTTCAGAGGTAAAATGAAAAATATATTTTTTTATCAATGTGTTTTTTTTAGCTCACATGTTTGATATCATATTACATGATATCATTAGAGATAGTTTTTCAAAAAGAAATAAAAAAAAATGGTTTTAACAAAAATAAATAGAAATCAATGTGAATGTTAAACATTATATTTAGAAAATCTAATATATAATTTGGAAAAAAAAGAATATTAATAATAATAATAATTTATTTATTTAATTTATATATATTTATTTATTTAATTTATATATATATATATATTAATCCATTGAAGAAGGATTGCATCCATTGAATATGTGATCAGTTAAAAATTTTCATTGGATGAGAAGTGAAATATATCAAAAAATAAATAAAATCAACAATAGAAAAATAAAATTAATCAAGAAGTTTTTTTTTTTTTTTAATAGAGGGGACAATTACAATATTTTTTTTTTCATTAATATCTACTAATACCAATATACCATTTCATTTAATTATTAGCAATAGTATCTTTAACTAAACTAAAACATTTAGTATATGGAACATTCAGAGACTTCTGTAAACATTTCTGAGTGATGCGAAATGAATCACTTAATCAGGTTTTTCTTCATTCTTTATGGATGGATTCAACCCTTTTCATGCAAACATGCTAAACAAGTGACACAGGTAAGTATTTGGCTCATAACCAAACAGATACAACAAGAAAAAAAGAAAATTGTGTAAAATGAATACCATGCCATTCATAAACGCATATATATATATATCAGCACCAACCTGCTGTCCTGTGTCCCTTAGTCTGCTGTAATAAACTGATGCCGAAAATGCTCTATATTCAATATGCTATCCCTCTCTTTTTCTCTCTCATACTGATTGTTAGCTTCCCCTGAATGGTGAATTCATACACCATGGAGATTTTCCATGAGGGTCCCCATTGGGTTGTTATAAGGGAAAGGGCATAATGCTTATTGCTATACTGTCTCATGACAGAGCTTATGCAATATCATGCAGGATCTTACAGATCTTAAAGCAGACTACCTGTTTTGTTTTTTCATGCTTGGGGGGATTTGGCAGCCGCAAACATGAATGAATGAATGAATGATTATAGGTCACTGCGTGCACTGATAATGCTTAGTGTACAACAATGTGCACTAAATGAACAAACTGAGCTAAATCCAGTGTTGTATGTTAACTAGAACTATTAAAATAAATTTTATTAATAAAAAATAAATAAATAATTAAAAAAAACATTAGTCTAAATGTATATATATATATATATATATATATATATATATATATATATATACATATATATAAACTTTAGAAATGAGAAATGTGGCCTTGGCAAATAACTGAAATAACATAAGTTCCATTAAGATAACATTAAGTTGATGTATAATTACAGAAACTAAAGCTGAAATAAATATAAATTAATGGAAATTTGAATAAATAAATGACAAAAGAACAAACTAAAATATAACTTAAACTAATAAAAACAACTGAAAATATAAAAATAAAAAGCTAAATTTCCACTAAAATATTCACTCCATCAAATACTGGACGCACAGTAAATTAGTGAAAACTCAGTGTTGGAAAAATGTTTATGTTTCAACACAAGCCATCCATAATTATAGTCTAGTTTTAAGTGTATACAAATATTTAGAAGATCCCAATGCTAATGGACTAGCCACAAACACAGCAGATTTAATTGTATTAGCTCATTGTTTCCCTATATGTTATGCGTTTTTAATTGAATCCATCTATTTTATTTTTGGCATATTTTATGATAATTTCAAATAATTTCTAAGTAAAACACTTTTAATTACCAGTGTGCTAATTAAACTTGCCTTGTAAAACAGAACTCCACCATTATGTCAGAATTGATCATGTTACCAATGAATCATTATAAAAGAGCAAACTGTAGCCATTAGGAAGGAACCTGGCTGTTTGTTTAGAGGAGCCGATGTTATCTGGCCCTGTAGAAGAACAGACTGACTCACAGCAGACCCCAAGGAGTTTATTCGCATTTCTGACAACATATAGTGACTCAGTGACCATCAGATCTGTGCCTGTGGTGTAACACCACCTACACACATCCAAACCACATCATCGAGAAGGGCCAGGTAAACCTGCTTGACACATGGGGTTCGTTTGCATCAATCCTTACTGACTGCTAGTAGTACTAACAGCTATTGTGTGTCGGGCTTGTGACCGCTTTAAGTTTTATGTAAATAGGCAGAGCCAGAATAACATAAGGTTGATCATGCTATGGCAGGTGGAAATTTGGGTATGTGAGCTGCCATGTTCATTCATCCGCTTTCTTTAAAGAGAGAATTCATTAATAATCAAAGACAGTTGCAGTTTCTCATTAGCTCTTTTAAAAACATTAAAGCCTGCGGGGAGAATGAGAGAGAGAGAGAGAGATGAGAAATAGGTTTATTCAGCCTGAATAACAAGCATGACTGGAGTAGCTAGACACAAATGTGTCTGACATGAACACAGCGTTCTTCAAACCCATCTGTGAAATCCACTTCAATAATAACAAAACTTCCTTATATAGAACACATTTCCGATACTTAATTAACATACTGGAATACTTGATTTTGATTAGTCAGTCATCTGAATAGAGATACGAGGTTGTTACTTGATGGTAAATGTTGTTGTTGAAGCCGTTTACTTATTTTTGTAAATGAACATGTTCAATAGTGGTGGAAAAACTACATTACCCATGATTCTGGAGAGAAATCTCCACCAATCAGAGAATCACAACAAGTAAACTGTGCAAAAAGAACACTTTAGTACCCGCCCACTCCCATTATGCACTGTGAACTATGTAGAGATAGGGTGTGTTGACACTTGACCAAAGAACCAAAAAAAAAAAAAACAGGACAAAATACCATCATATGTAGGCTACGTCCATACAGCGAGCACACTTAGCCCAAAGCACAGTATTGTTTGGACAAAACAGTACTAAAATGTATCAACCAAACTAGAAGTGTAAACACAACCATTTTGCAAAAAATGTACACTCTAAAAAATGCTGGGTGGTTTCAGCCCAACTTTGGGTCAAACATGGACAAACCCAGCCGTTGGGTTAAATTAAAAAAAAATCTATCTATCTATCTATCTATCTATCTATCTATCTATCTATCTATCTATCTATCTATCTATCTATCTATCTATCTATCTATCGATAATTCCTAAGAGAAAAAAATAATGGGAAAATACTTCTGGAAACAATACCATTAAAAAAGTGGATGGGCACTATTACATTGTATAATAAGCAGATGGATATTTCTAAAGAATGACTGTTTTCATTATTACTAAATAATATCAAATATTAATTTGGTAATATTTTTTTTACATAAAAGCAACATCCACCCTGAGTAAGAGGTGACATGGTGCTCAAGATCATGTTACATCACCCTGAAGTGGTTTATTTTATGATAATGTGCAAGTCTAACGCAGCATATTATCACTTATTATGTAATAATATTAATTGATAATACAAGAATGTCAAAATTTGACCTTTAAGAAAGGTTGTGACCTCTGTGGTAAGTCAATACATTGAAATGACACTGTTAACTGGCTCGATCGCTTTACTAGCACAACAGTGATCGATTTTACTGTATTAAGAGCACAAAGAAAGTTACTTAAACATAACATTTTTGGCATAACATGCATAGGTCACGCTCTGAGTGAATCAAGATAAAGCAGACATAACTCATCCTGTTTTGACACATGATGTGACACTTCAAATAATGCTTAAACTTCATTTCCCATTCACTTTTCCTGTCATATTTATGCCCATAAACTAAAAGGGATCAACACATATCATGCTGCAGCTGGATGGAAACAGATGTGGATATTATATAATGCAGGGTGTCCATCAAGGTATATATAACCCACACATGATCCGTGCATCAAAACATCTGTCATAGACTCATATTCATATATAAAAGGGTTAGCTAAAGGTTTATAAAAGCCGCTTTCACCACTGCACATAACACAAGTGTCTAACTTCTAACAGAAGCGCTATTTATCACATAATGTTCCGGTGGTACGGATAGAGCAGAAGGAGCTGTCATTAATCAAGCGCTAACATGCATAGCATCATAAGTGCATCATGCCTTTAGTTCAACAAGCTGCATGTTTCATTTTGCTTTTCACAAGCGGATATTCTCTTTCATGAATATTGTATTGAAAATAAGATACAGCACTTACAGATCGATCGGGTTTGAATTAGGATGGACAGGCAACCGCGCTCCTGCCTGTCGGCTGATCTGTGTTTGTGTTGCTGCTGCACATCTGCGCAGCTCTTCCTGTCACTCATCCGGGTACTTCAGCTGTCTGCGCAGCTCATAGAATAATGTACATAGATACCTCATTATCAGCCGACATCGCCATATTGGAGCGGTCCGTCAACAATCGAGAGTGGGTTCCATGAGCGTCCACAACTGTTACGCATGAATTAATATCTATTTATGAAATAGAATTCAGCAGATTATTTTATTAGATAAACATAAAACAACAATTAAGACGAAGGCGTCAGCTGACACACGACATTAAGGGGTTATCTTTGTAAAAGAAAAGAAAAAAAAACATTAAAAGTTACCATTATTATCACTGTAAGTTACCATTATTATTACACAAACCAATGCATTCGGACTTCTGAAAGGTTATCCCAGTCTGATTCCTACTGTGAGTGACGACCAAAAGTTGCAAGCAAGATGGCCTGCGTATCTGGGGCGGTCCAGGGTGTATCTACGTATAAATCTCTATGGCGCAGCTCCTCCTCTGTGACTCATCCGGGTACTTCAACTGAAGGCCTTTATCTGATGAATATTAATCGCGTCTTGCTACTGTTGCTTGGGAACCATAGTTGGGATAGTTGGAAACCTAAAACTTAAAGTAGGCCTAATTAATATTCAATCAAGAAGACCCTGATCGGAACACCGGAACGCAGCCTTTAGACCCAAACCTTCGCTCGCAATTCCGACGTGTACGTCAGCATACGTCACATATCTATGATGCAGATATTTCTTTTTCTTTTTACAGTCAATTATTGGGTAACCTTCTACACTTAACATAATTAATTATTATGAACCAAGTCTTTTGCAGAGGATCATTGTTTGATTGGCTGCGTTATGGCACATTGTGGATGGGATTATAATTTAAGTAATAATTAAGTAGTTCATTCTTAGTAATTTTAGTAAGTTTGTTAAAATTATTTAATGCATTGCGATTGCGAACTAACATGAACAAACAGTAACAATTATATTTTTCACTAAATATCAAAGGTTAACAAAAAGCTTTCAAAAATAATCGTGTTCATTGGTGGTTCAGCAAGTTAATACATTTACTAATGTTAACAAATGGGACCTTCTTGTAAATTGTTACAAAAACAATAATACTAGACAAGTGACTGTTTTCAATTATTATTAGTAGTAGCTACTTTGGTGAGTTACCCATTATTCACTAATGACGAGTGAGATGTTCTTTTAATAGGAGGAGAGGTGTTGTTAAGAGTTGGGCATAATGCTATTCAGAAGTTTTTTAATTGTAAGAAGTCAGTAGCATTAATTAGGTTAAAATATTAGATTGTATGGGTTTGAAATCAGATAAAAATTATGGATCAGGGGGCGGAGATTGTTTTTATTCTTGCTGAAGAGGCAGGATGCTTAAAATTGCAATGGCATACATCAAAAAAAAAAAAAAAAAAAAATCAATAACTTTCCAGGAGAGACCAGTAAAAAACTTATTGTGAAATGATATTCAAAATGTTTGTAATTGATGGCTGGGGTTATTTTGTCACAGGTTAGCACAATGTAAGAGACCAATAATCCTTTATGGATTGGTCACCTGAACTGTCTGTAAAGTTTTGCCCACCGTCTGCTGTGAATATTTGAAAAACCCTGAAACAGACTGATGTCCATGGTGTCATAAAGCAAGTGATGGTGACCTCTGGTGTTGATTAGATGGAACTGATGCTATGGTATCGTTGTGTCATATCCATGTTCACACCAGCTCTTCTGTAAAGGATGACCCGCAGAGTAACGGGAGGTGTTTTCAACAGGCCATCAGAGAGAAGCCCTTGCTCATGATCCTCATCGCATTCAACATTATAGTGCCATGACACAGTATGTAGGATGGTTGAATGTCAACAAAGAAACATGCCATTTAAAATGACTGAAATATCTTGCTGCTGTATTCTCATGACAGTACAGACGTCTGCTAAACACACCTTCAGATAAATGTTGCAATACATTAGTTATGTATTGCAACATATGTATTCCATGAGCTTCGGAAGTTATTAGTTCATTTGAAACTCTCTGCACATCTCTGTTGATCATGATCATTGATGATCCAAAAACAAGCAATTCTCACATTTATTAAAAATTCATATATTAAGTACAACAAACATGAAAAACAAAAACAAAAAAACATTGAGAGTACATTTGAAAATGTACATCAAAACAGTTTGGTAAAGTATTCATTGTGATTACAAATTAATTTTTTATTCCTGTTTTTTAAGGTCCATATTTTCTTATTATTATCAGAGATCAAGCAGGCATTGACTTCATGGGTGCACTGCAGCATGGGAACAGTACCTCTCTAAAAATGTGACAATATCTTGATACCAACGAAGTCTCCGAACTTAGGTATCCAACCAGCAACCGACAACCAAACCGGTTCTCCGGTTTATTACTAAACACAACTTTATCAAAAAGTAAAGTCTTTCATAGACAAGTCTATGTAAATATTAGCAATCATTAAGGATTTGGGTGTATCTCTTCCATATAAACACTGTCTTTTATATTTCATCCATGATTAGCTCTGTAGGTAATGCGTCCCAGGTGGTGTCAGCCGTGACCAGTGTGTGTTGTATTTTCCAGCATCTCCTCATAAAGCCAGCTCTCAGTGAAGTTTCCTGACTGCTCCATTAGCTCAAACAGGCGCTTGTACTCATCAGGGTAGACGTCGCCTGTCATCGTGTTGTCAATGAAGCAGAGCTTTGAATTGAGCTCTGATCCACTGCCAGGACTCCATGAGCTTCGGAAGACAGCGGACCAAAGGTGTGAATACATACAACCAATCATATACGTTTGTTCATTCACATATTCTAGTTTGTATACAAATAGAGGTAATAAACTTACTTGATTTGTTCAATCAATCTGCGTCTTCTTTTAGCAAGGCATTGTTTCACCATCAAAACTAGAGTGCTGCCATTCAAGGGAGTTAGGTGAGAGTTAAACAAGTCCTCACGTGGGGTTATCCGCACCAAACACAGGTTATCACTCTGGGAAGTCTGTGGGTGGAAATAAGGGCCACATTTTTTCATTCAAAAAAATGAATACTGGCTTAACTTTTGTAGAGGACATCAACCTCTTTATTCAAGAAATTGGACTTGCAGCCAGTGCTATTTCTCTAATATCTATAATGGTTTTTGTTGTTGTTGTTGTTTTTTAGAGAAATTACTACTTTTATTTAGCGATTATACATAAAATTGACAGTAAAACATTTGTTACATAAGCCTGCCTGTGATTTGTCAGAGGTGTGGTGTGGCGCTTCACATCCTAGGAGGCCACTTTTTCTCATGGAAATTATGTCACAGAGAATTTTTTTTTTTTTTTTTTTAGTTGTTTATGTAGAATCGTGGGAGAATTGTGATCTCTTCTTTAAACAAAAAATAAAAAAATAAATAAAAAAATGTGATCAATTCATCAATTTGTGTCAATTTATCCAGAATGGTGCAGGTCTAATACATAGTACTATCATTACAGACTAAAAGTACATAATGTTTCTGAGCTCATATTAAGATAGAAGACATTACCTGCAATTCATTAAGTGAGTGATACATCTGAGATTATTCAGTGAGAAAATTAGCTGTATTTTGTTCAGACCAATGACTTGTATGATCATTTCAGACTGATTCAAGAACCACAAATAAAATCCTAAACAAATTGGACAGTGGGATTTGATGATGATGACAGGGTGCCTCTCCTGAATCACCAATACAATATAAACAAGATGAAGAATCCTAGAGTGATATTACTTGTATGAAAATACTTACAGTAATCTTTGATGTGGACTTTTTATTACTCCTGCTTATAGTCAGAAAGGACGACAATGGCTCCTGGTAATGAGGATAAAGCAGAAATACAGTACAAACACATTAATTGATAAATTATTCCCAGAAAAAGGAAACAACACATAAATAATAATAAAATGTCTCACCTCATGTAGTAACTCAATATCACAGGCCATCTGCCAGAGAACACTGTAAGCTAGGTAGTTCTTATAATCTCTTGGACGGGCCACTAGTTTCTGTCAGAGAAAATAATCATAATTCATACTTGTATCCAACTGGAAATCTTCAACTCCAAGGGGTAGTTCACCCAAAAATAAATTGTCATTTATTCACACTCGTACCGTCCCAACATGTAAAAATGCTTAGTAAAAAAAATCAAATCTTACATACATAACCGGATGTAATGTGACTGGTCAAATTACTGAATAACTGTTTGAAATATTGAAAGACCCTTGTTTGTCCATTTCTGCTGTTTCTTAAGTGCCATCTACTGTCAGAGAATTAATGAGCATTTTCAATCAGCACATCTCAGGTTATTTATGTCCGGATGCCTTTTTGACACAGTGAACACACAATTTTGTAAATTTAACCAGCTGATTACCAATACCAAATGCATTCAAAAAATATCCATAGTTTCATATCATTTCATTCCATGGTACCGAATTTAAACATCTGGTGGCATAAATTGCTTGGCTTCATTACTTTCATTAGTTGTTGCCAAACATCTCCAAAACTTGTCATCTTGTCAAGCTATTGAGTGTTTAATTTGCACACTCATTTTGCAGGAATTTGCCTTTGCACTGTGACGTACTACATAAAAAAATAACCCTTTAAACTTTGTACATGTGAACTCACCATGTATTCACTCTTTCTGAAGAACATGATCAACTCCACACGTCCGTAGCGGTAAACAGAACGGCGCTCAAACAGGTTGTAAATCAGCTTCCACATTATGCTCCTCTCATTCCTGTGAGAGAAGATCCCCACAATCTTCACCGGGACATCTGTTTCACAAATGGGAAGTCAGAAAAAGCATTAAAAAAGTCTTGCTTAAAAAGTTGACTCATTGCTGCGCTATTGGTGCCTTTCTTTCTGTTTGGCCACAAACATGGCCACTGAATGTTTGGGACACTAACCTGCTGACCAGGGTACCTCAGGGATGGCTAGGTCAGAGAAGAGCTTCTCCGAGTACATGACGGGTGGCTTCATGCTGCCGTGGCCGATGGGATCCAGTTTGAAGAAGTCACAATGAACCAAATCCAGCTGTCCTTCCAGTTTGCTCTCCAGGTCCTTTAAGACCAAGTTATTCTTTAAGTTATTTTAGGGGTATGTGATATGAAGATATTTAATGTGAAAGATTAAAAAGTCTCCACAATCTGTTTTTACGGTATCATTTTTTTTTTATTATTGTCTCTATCGTGGTTACACTCACGTCACTTTGATGTTCTTTATCATTAAGTGTAGGTAAACAGTTGGGAGAAAACCAGATGCGTGTCAGTATACTGGATTTGTGCAAAAAAAAGTCAACAGCAGCATAATATACCTGCTATTGTTGTTAAAGGGATACTCCACTTTTTTGGAAATTGGCTCATTTTACCACTCCCCCAGAGTTAAACAGCTGAATTTTACCGTTTTCGAATCCATTCAGCCGATTTTTTTGATATTCAGAAGAATATCAGTAACCAGACAGTTTCTGGTCTCATTGACTTGAACAGTAGGAAAAAATACTCTATGGAAGTCAATGAGACCAGAAACTGTCTGGTTACTGATATTCTTCTAAAAATCAAAAAAAAATTGTCTGAATACATTTGAAAACAGTAAAACTCGACTGTTTAACTCTGGGGGAGTGGTAAAATGAGCTTATTTCCAAAAAAATTTGGAGTATCCCTTTAATATGAATCAAACCACAAAAGAAATAAGAGAAAATCTATCACTACTTTTGACAGAATAACATTTATAGCTTTAATAAGAATTGGTACATATTTATTTATTTAATAAGTGAAAAATATGCAGTTTTATTTTTTCATTTGACTTTCTTGAATACTGCTATCTTACATACCTACTTTTCCTAAAAAAATAATCATTTTATTTGCATCTTTCTTGAAATCCTTCCCCCTATGGTTTGTATATTTTAATAACTAAGATAAAATAAAGAAATGAAAATTCAGCTATGCATCAAAGAAATAATTTCCCTTTTAAATTATAATAATATTTCATTTTACGTTTCCCCCCCCCATATTTTTGATCATGTAAATGCAGCCATGGTGAGACTTCTTTTGAATGGTGTTGTATGTTTTATACATTTATTTTCAACAAAACTCCCTAACTTGGGAAATAAGCCTTTTTAACAATTCTTTTAAAAAGTAAACATAACAGACTGCGATTCAGTAAGTGAGTGATACAGATAAAATATTGAAATAAAAATAAGGAGAAAAGATTTTAGTCATATCCCTCACCTCATCCTATTTTCTTTTATGTTTTATTATTGTTCCCTTGTAAGGCTTTATTGCTTTTAAATAGGGAAATTAGTTTAGCAGTACTTCAGTAACTTGCAAAAAAGCCTTAAAAACCAACATGAAAAAGAATCGTGATACAATCGTGGATCGTCGTGATCCTGCATGAAACAACTGTGATATGATATTTCTGCCATATAGCCCACCCCCATGTTATTTATTAGGAAATGGGTCCAGTAAAATCTGACAGTGAGTAGAATGAGATAAGCTCATTTCAGATGAATACCTTCAGCTCAGAAAGGAAGTTTGCATCACTTTCCAACGCAACCACTCTTTGAGCCCCACTGTTCAGCAAAGCACGAGTCAATACGCCAGGACCTGCAGACAGAGACAAACCCCACATGAATGCGTCTATAAAAAAATACTGATGCCATTCAATTAGCAGTTGACAGACACACACCTGGGTTGCACTCAAATATAACAGCTTTCCCATCCTCGATATCTCCGGCGAGGTGGTCGGTCACAATTCTTGCGAGGGAAGGGTCTACGATGAACTGTCTCAGGTGTTTACAGGCTAGGGCTTTCTGCGTGTTCTCATCCACATCGCCCAAATCTAACGGGTCGTACCGGCAGAGGGGCCGAAACTGACCATGCAGTGGCACGGCGACAGCGGAGAGGTTCCTCTGAACGCCTCCTGAGGATAGAGTAATGAGCTCTGGTTTGCCCACCTGAGCCGGGGTCTTCCTTGTGCCGGGGGAGAATGAGTCTGGAGAGCAAGTTCTCGCAGATGTGGACAAAGTCCTGTGTTTAGTCCAAGGCAAAGCGCAGGGAGATGTAGATCTTGATGTTCCACAGAGAGTTCTTAAAGTCAGGACAAAAAACTTACATCCTCCACACACCGCCATGATGACCAACAAGCCTGAAATCATATAATATAGAGTAAAATTTCAAATCCAAACCTGAACACTTTTATGTAACTATAACTTTTCAGTACTTACTGCATTCATGACATACTGTACTGGGCTAAAACGCAGTACTATTAACCATAACAGATTATATATTTCATAGCTGAACTTAATAAGAAAATTGTTATTTAAAAAACCCTGATATTTTCAGTATTTAAATAAGCCTTGACATAAATTATAACAACGGCCATTTAACATTGGCTATATCTGAATATAATAATTATGTTTAGTTCTATAACAATATTTAAGTAGCTTTTATAAACATACCTTAGGGGAAAAAAAACAATATTGGTGTGCATCTTGAGACAAAAACAATGGCACTGTATTACATGACCATTACATTACGCTTTTGCAGCAAACGTCCTCGTTAACTAACGTTATCTTTCTGTCCTGCACATGCAGATTGTTGGTTATAAATTTTAAGACAATTTTGACCCAAACTAACCTCAAGTGACGGGGTTCTTGTCCACAGGATCTACATTAAAGAATCGTTACCCAAGCTGCGCAACACACGCGCCGTGACATTGAGCCCCGCGTGCTGTTGACCCGATGCTTTCGCAATCCTATTGGCGAGGCGCATGACGTACGTCATGTCGCCGCGACGTCCCAACATATATAATGCTAATCATGAGTGCGTCAGATTTGCGCATTCAAAAATGTGTTAATATTTTTGTATGTGCAGTAAACATTAGTCTCAATATATTTTTAAAAAATAATAAAATAAATAAATAAACAAAGAAATTAAAATAAAATTATATGTTTTGTAGTGAAATATATTTTTGTTGAGTTTCAGATTTTTTATTTTTTTAATAACCTGCGCAGTGCCGTGTCAAGTTGACTGTCATGAATACAAACAGGGCAGTCATAATGTGTATGTACTGAATGTAGACACATGGACGCTCAGTCTGGATGATATTTTCATGATGGCTGTGAATATAGAGCGGTTTGTCAGTGAGGGTAAAGGAAATGGTGTGCGTGCTCTGCTTAGCATAAAACCCGGCGAAGTGATCTATTCATGCGAGCCGTTTGCATTCTGCATAGCCAAAGATTTCTTAAAAACCACCTGCCAAAGTTGTTTTAAGAGGTAAGAACACAATTTTCGAACATGTAACTTAGCTCTGTGTTTTTTTGGACATGGTACGCAATGCCATAAAATTATTTTGGAGTACCATGTATGTAAATATCAATACCATAGTACACGCTCTTCACGCATTGTAGGTTCCAAATTACCATGCATGCATTGCATCAGTATTCAGCAACGTTACTCTTTCGTAAGGGTAAACGCTTTTAGCAACAGTCTGTCTTTATTCTCCATGTTCTGCCATATGATAATGTTTTCATGAATATGAAATAAAGAGTTTGCGAAATGCCAATACAAGTGTAAAGCTTGACATTTCTGAGTTTGACCTCCAGGTGGCGCTGCTGCTCTTTCTCTGATGTTGCTGCACCTTGAGTTAATTTACATGGACTGTTGTTTTTTGTCCTTTTGTTGGTCAACTAAATGAGAGCGAAATGACGCTGTTTTCATACCTAGGATAAAATAATATATAGCATAAAGACTTTGAAGTCCTCCCCTTGCATAAGAAAATCAGCCCTATGTAATGTGCACAAACTAAGTTTACTTTTGGCGACGGTAATTTTAGCAAATTTCGACTCTCAATTAATTGACAGGATCAATTGATTTTCACTGCGTATCCAATGGATAAATATTTTTTAGTAGTTATTTATTTATTATTATTTAAATACTAGTTTGGTTTTCAATATATATTTTATGCTGCTTTTGAGGATAGTTTTTTTCTTGTGCAGCTGCAACAGTGTGAAGTTTACAGTGACTATGTTCAGAACGTCAATAGGCCTTTATTACACTATTTTCTGTATGCATAGATTTTACATTGAATAATTTGCTTGATTTGAACTTTCATTTCATTTTGATGGTGCAGAATTTATATCCGGACATAATACATTAATTAATTTTATATTACAAATATTTTAACAATTTCAACTATCATACGTTGGTTGGATAACACTTTAGTTTAGGATCCAGTTCTCACTATTAACTAGTTACTTATTAGCATACATATTACTATGATATTGTCTCTTTATAGGCAATAGCCTACTTATAACACACATATTAATGCACTATACATGACCGTATCCTTTAACTTTACTAACTATGAAATTTACTGGCATTTACTGAGGCAAAAGTCGTGGTTAATAGTAAGAATTGACCCCTAAGTTTTTATGGATTTGACTCATTAGTTTTTAGAATATCAAGAGCTTGAGTTAAGATGGTTGTACATAAGATTTGAATCAAAATTATGGATTTGTTATTGCATAATACAAACAGTTTGTTTTTAGTACTATTTAGTTTATACTGCACAATATGGAGTAAAACCAAGTATTCTATTCTGAACATAGCCTCTTTATCTCTTTTTTTAGGTGACATAGATGAGTGCACTGCATCTGCATTGTATAACATGGCCTAGAACGGATATATGATTAGTGAAGTTCACAGAAACCAATCACCACCGAGTCAGAACTAATTTACCAGTTTACTCAAGTTGCACCAACAGAACAGCCAAGCATTAATCTGCTCCAAATACACACCGAATTCAAATTATATAAGCCTCGCTTTCCTATGTTGTGCATCAGAAAAACAGAAGTTTGTTCTGGAGAGTGCAGCTGTCGAGAGTGTTTTCATCACCTTCCCAAAGATCACTGTCAGAAGTCATTTTGTTGAAGGTTTCTTGTGATCCATTCATCATTTCTATTCATTTTAGAAACATACTGTATTTTCATTTTTCCGAGGTGTGATATTCCCCTCGCTGAGTGTGTAGGATGAGGCTGTAATGAGATTTCTAGCAGATGTGCTGTGATTTAATTCACACCAGCTTTACATGCCTGATCATCTCTGACACTTTATTAGAATCAATCTATAAAACTCTCAATGCCGACAAATGCTCATGGATGGTGTGTGTCTAGAAAATCGGTAGATTTCAGAAGAGAGTGCCTAAATGTTCATATTTTCTGTATTCTATGAGCTGAGTGAAATGTAGTTTTTGTACAGAATTATTACTCGGCTCTCTGGAATCCTTTTTGCTTTGTAAGTTTCTTTGGCGAAATGCATAAATGTTATATAATGTATGGTTACTGGGTGTTCTGCATGGTTGCTATAGGTTTTATGTATAGAGTATTAGAGTCCAATAGAGTCCAAGACTATATTAGGGCCCTGTGATTTCCACATTGCGGAAAATGCAGACGAAATTGCAGAGTCAGAAAAATGGAATTTACTGAATTACTCGGAATGTCACGGAATTTGGAAAATTGTAGACGACTAAAAGTCAAAAGTAGGGCTGTACACTAACCCTCCAACGCGATCTCATGAGGATACGTATTTGTACGTAAAGTGTCGTTCTATCATACGTATATATAATTACGTTTTATATGCGGAGAAACGTTTAATACTGACGTATTTACAGTACTAAAAAGTAAAATATTAACGTATTGACAGCACAAAAACGTAAATTATTTACGTATGAACAAATCCACCGACGTACACATTTGTACGTATCACAATTTATGCATATTGATATCGTAGCTTTGACTCTATTGCATTCCACTGTATTATTAATGAAGTTTTCAGTCTCATTTATTGATATAATACTCATAAATATTAACATTTTGCTCGTTTCGCCTGCATGGTGCTAAACAATACACTATAGGCCTACAATCTTAAAAATACATTCTTTAATGTTACTCGTTTAACCGTTTTGTAATATAGTTTATTTACCTTGAGACACATAAAGCGTTTTCTCCTATAAAACACTACAAAAATTCACAAAAGACATCAATTTTATTAGTTTGATGTAATCCAAATCTTTAGAATCCATAGTTGTTTGCAAGAAACAACTCCTAATAATTCAGCCTTTTATACAGTCGTGATCTTCGTCTCCATTCTGCAAGTGTTTACAGAGCATTATTTGGATTTTCAATACATTGCATTTTAAAATAAACTTTTCAAAGTAAAGCAGTTGCAAATGTTGTACAAAATACTCATAGCCTACTCATCTTTGAACCAATAAAATGAAACTGACAATTTGTTTTAATACCAAATTACATGTAATGTGAAATTTTCCTTACTATCTAGTGGTTTCGGGAAACGCGATGTCCCGAACTTTATGCATGATGGGATTTTTGCATGGCTTTGAATACCGCTCTGATGTGGTATTCAAGATATTGTGTGTTAATGTACATTCAGGGCACTGCGTTTTGGCATTTTTTTTTAGACATGGGACAGTCTTGCACACTTCCTGTCGCATGCACGCTCTCAAGTGGCCAAGATCTCAAGTGTGGGTACTGTATTTGGAAAGGACCAAGAATCTCGCTGGAAGTAGTCATCGGGGTCATACTTTTTTCTCACTCTTTTTTAAATACTGTGAATTCGGACATACTTCATTTGTGATATTGTTTTTCACCTACTATTCTTATATAGTATGTGATTTCAGATGCGCCGCAAAAATGTAATGCCTTCTTTATCGCTATGTTTGCTAATCTAGACAGTATCATTCGTCACAAGCAAATGCGCACCATGCTCAGAGTGGAATAGATGCGATTATAGTGTTTAGTTTATTGCGTTTTAAATCAGTATATGCACTTATGATAATTTCTTATGATCATGAGCTTAAAGGAGTAGTTCACTTTTAAAAAAAACAACTTTTGCTGATAATTTACTCACCCCCATATCATCCAAGATGTCCATGTCTTTCTTTCTTCAGTCGAAAAGAAATTAAGGTTTTTGATGAAAACATTCTAGGATTTTCTCCATATAATGGACCCTCAATGGGAACCAAACGGTTCAAGGTCCAAATGAGAGTTTCAGTGCAGCTTCAAAGGGCTTTAAACGACACCAGATGATGAATAAGGGTCTTATCTAGGACCCTTCGAGCCATGACTCGGAAAAAGATTTGTTCATTTTGATGAACGAGTTTGAACAGGAGAGTCACGAACGCAGATCACAGAACAGAGCAAGGCGAGCATTTGAGGTTATAAAACTTAAACTTTGTTATTTATTTATTAAATGATCGCTGGTTTCGCTAGATAAGACCCTCGTCTTGTGTCGTAAAGTCCTTTGAAGTTCCACTGAAACTCTCATTTGGACCTTGAACCGTTTGGTTCCCATTGAAGTCCATTATATGGAGAAAAATCCTGGAATGTTTTCATCAAAAACCTTGATTTCTTTTCGACTGAAGAAAGAAAGACATGGATATCTTGGATAACATGGGGGTGAGTAAATTATCAGCAAAAGTTATTTCAAAAGTGAACTACTCCTTTAATTTCTTATGATCATGCGCTTAAGCGCATCAATTTGATTTGAAGTATTGTGTTTAGGGTAAAGTTTAATTGCAATATTGCCTAAATCTTGCTATAATCACATTATCAGGGTGTATGTATTAAACAGTGGTTCTCAATTTCATGTGTACAAGAAAAAAATTACACTAATATAACCAAATTATGTTTATCTTTCTACTGTATTTTCTATAAAAAAAAGTGCAACAGACAGACTTTATCAAGCAGTTTAGTGCTTAATATGAAAATTTACAATAACTTTTTTATAAATACACTTGGATGTATTTTATACACCCATTTATTGAATGAAAGCTTGGATAATTGATATTTATTTACAGAAGTGTATGTCATCACCTCAGGTCTAAAAGATGAAATATATGTTTGTGATAGAGCCGTCATTTGTTGACATTTCTGTGTCAGCTTGACTCCAAAAGAGTCTGTCACAGATCATCAAATATTTCTCGCAGGTAATTCAAGTAGGCCTACTTTATTTATTTATTTATTTTTTAATGAGGTTATGATAATTCTCCCATGGCATGCACTTGTTTTTAGTGTCATATTCCGGAGTAAACACACACACCCTAAGGTATCCATTCTTTTTCTGGTTCTCTCCCTCCTTCTGCTCTCGTTTATTCATCTATTCCCTGTTGAGCTATTAATTGCCATCTGTTTTTTGCCGTTTGGCCGTTCATCATATTTCAGGTATGTCATTTTCCTTACTCCTGCTCAATGCTTTTC